GAACAGAATGACAGAAACATAAATGTTTGAAAATTTGATTAGTCTGTTAAAAGGTTGCTGCTTATTTGAATCATAAAGAATTGTGTTGGATAAGATGATTATCCTTGATTTAAAGAGATATTCATATCGTTTTGTAGAACAATTTGTGGTAAATCGAATAGTCTAAAGAAAATTGCATTTTCATAAAGTTTTAGCGATATCAGAAGTCATCTACTGGTTGAGAAATATTATAGAAAATATCGGTAATATGACTGAATCTTCTCACTTTATATGTTCCTAAACCAATCTATATAAAGCTGTATTTAATGTTATTTAAATTGAATCTTATCTGGTCTTTAATCATGTGTATCTAATGATTCTGACCATATCTTTCTTAGTATCTAATACCTCAAGCCCTTTCTCAATTGCATTAGGTTTTTGATTTAAATGATGGCCAAAGCTCCTCGATATTGCTCCTCAAGGCAAACGATAACAGTATTTAGATCATTCTAAAACTTTGTAGACTTTGCCAAAGTTTTCTATGAATTTAATATTTCTACTGTATATTCTAGCCAGTCTAAATATTACGGATTTGAATATTTAATGTAGTACGAGGGTATTATTCTTAGTGTCAATCAGTAGGACAGTAGTATTATTGATATATCACAGTCAAAATAGGACGAATATAAAAAAGTATGAACTAGATCAATTTGAAGTTTAGAAAACACTCGACAGTATATGTGCAAGTTTATCGAGAAAAAACGATGGTGTTCGCAGAAGTTTACTGAACGCTTAAATCAATGTGTATAACAGGCTATTATGGTGACTGAACCGACAAAACGAAGAATAATATGATATTTGCTGCTTGCTATGGTATGTATCGTAGATATTATCATTAAGGAAAAAAGCAGTATCCGACAAACAAAACAGTTTTTTTCGATATAACGATGCTGGTAGAATAGAAATTCTGTACGCAAATATTTTCGAAATGTTAAAATTTCAGAATGCGCGTATCAACTATAGAAATCATTATAATTTTGATTTATTCATTTTATTTGACATTTTTGTAAATAAATTACTTTAACTCCACTGACAATATAGAATAAATTTATAATAATCAGAGTTTGTGAGTTTTACATTTTGATCCTTCACGGAGCCGTAATGCAAAGTTTTATTTTGGTTGACTTGAAAAAGTCAAGATATTATTGTTATTCTATAGACTCGATTTTGTTTTGATTTTTTTTTATAAAGACCTAAGTTTCTTTTCAAAGTTTCATGAGGCTAGTAGAGAGTGAAAATTTCAGATTAAAATGATTTTTTTCTCTGTTATTTATGGCATTAGAACATGATCTGTGATTTGCGAGCTATGAAGAGTTTCTGACAAGCAGCCAAGAAGTGAGTATGAAATTTTTGAGATGAAAAATTTCTAGTGTAGACAAAGTTTGGATTCTAAATTGGTGCATAGCATTTCTCAATCATCATCAATGTATTCAGTCGACTCTGAGACTACTCATTCTAAAGTAGGACGCATTAGACCAGCATCGAGAGCTGAAATTTCAATAGCGACTAGAAACTTATCGAATCAAAGTTTCAAATTCGTTGGTTTTCGAACTTTCAAACGATGAAAATTGACAAAAAATGAGCAAAGATAGACTAGCTTCAGTACTGTTACAAACAATACAAAAAAATGAACCGGTTCAGTGTCAGTTCTCAATTGACGTGCGATTTCTATCATTAACTTTTTTCAATAAATCAATTGCATTAAATGTTTCCCTCCATCATATATTTTTCTATAGTCAAGGTTTGATAATGTTCGTATTACTATTATGCCTATCAATAACAGCTAAATAGAAAAAACAAAACATATTATTCAAAAGTTTGTATTCGCTTATTAGTGAATCGATGCGTGTAATCAATAAGTACTTTATATATTCTAATGATTTCGTAAATATCTGATTTATAGGAATTTATAAATATTTATTAAAGAAAACGAATGGTCATGATATTGATGTAAATCGATTATGTATTTATTATAATGCATGTATTAAGGACAAGGATAACTACATGTTGATGCCACTAGAACCCTAATGTTCGTCAATCAATCTCCAATAAACACGAAAATGGTGGAATAATGATAAATATCGATATTTGTTTCGAATTTGAATATGAATCATTTATTGACCTAGTCTTGAAATTGAAATCAATGATCGAACAACATTAAACTATCTATGATACATATATATCTCAGTGTATTCTTGTCGAGAGTTCTAGAGTTGATTCAATTGACAGAGAGATATCACAGAATTATTTCTTTTTGTGCCTCTTCTAGATCACAGCTATTGTAGAAGATTAAATTTTTTTCAGACTGGATTCGAATCGAATGGTCAAAGTCGAAAATTAACTTAGCTAATTTGAATTATCGACTATATCTCTCTCGCTCTTTCTTTCTCTTTTATATCGAATGAATATTGAATGTAACATTACTTATTTAAAGTAACAGGTAATCATTTTCTTTTTTTCTTACCTTCTGCGAGAAAAAATATTATCACTATCGATTATTAAAAAAAAGAACAAGGATCACGAGTCTTGAAGTGAATCGCACCAGTAAAACCACGATTCAATCATTGAAAATAACATAGTTTGTGACCTTGAAATGTGTCAACCTAGTCTCAAGATGAGAAAGTGAATATTGAGTATTTCAGCTCACAAACAATTTATTTCTTATCAATCATAAAGAACAAGACAGCGCATTTCAATGCTTTTCTGTTCGATATCTGTTGGAGCTTCATGCTCATTGATGAAAGCTGTATGAGCCCCATATTGGGCAACATCGGGATTGGTATCGAAGGTCTTGAAAACAAATATTTCACTCGATCGCATATGGCTCAGATAGTACCACCTATGAGCATCTTGGGCGTTGCGTGAGATCGTATAGTTCGAGGCGGCACTTAGAAGTCCTCGTAATTCTGTCAAATGAAGATCTTTGACGGTGTCCAGCGATTGGTAGTCACAAATGGTCAAAGGACTGTTTATAATAGGATTCGGACCTATTGGTCGCCAAACATTGATAATTTGGAAATGTTTCTGTATCATTTTTTTTGCTTCTTCTGTACCAAGTACGAGTTCAACCCTGGAGCGAGCTGTAGGTGGATTATAGTCCACATGCGGATAGAAAACAGGATTCTTGTGGTTCCGATCGCATCGATCGACAGCGCGAGGAGTCGCTCGAAAGCGAAATATGTGATCGTAGACAATCACACGGGAAGCAGCGAGACGCTTTTTGAGCAGAGCAGCAATATCTTCATAGTAATGTCGTTGAATCTCGCTGCCATCGTCAAATTCATCGTGTATATTACCATCATATTTGAGTATTTCAAAGCCATGAGTATCCAGATTGACAGTATTCTCTTTGCCTCGCAAATCATGAATAGTAACACGAGTTGGTATCCGTACGAAATTTGACGCTGTCCAACCCAACGTAGGAGTCACATCGAGCCATGGAGGTAATCCGTCAGTGGTATGACTAAAATAATAGATATCTCCAGTAATATCACTGCCCATCGCTAACCTCAAATGACTTGCACAAAGAAAATAGATGCGTGCAACAAATCAAACAATTAAAGAACAATGATTTTCGTCTTTCACTTCTCCTTATCTTATCTGATGCAGAATACTGTTAAGGATAGACTGAATAACAGTTATGCAAGGTTACTGCGCACTATTTTCATTTTTTTTGCGACGCACTTTTTCTTTGAATTACTAGCTGACATCGTTAGAATGAAAGATAAAAAGAGAAAATTAAAAGAAAGTGGGACATCATTGTGTGCGAATAGCAGTACTCGAAACTGATAAACAAGCGATGTTTTTGTTTGTCGTAATTGGAGTGCAGATCTGTCGAAGAAACGAACTCTTAGAAATCAGAAAAAAAACTGGAAGCAACTCTTCGTGTGAGCTCACAAAATAGATTTAAAAATACATCGCATCTCACTTTACAGATAGAGGGTGTGTGTTTAAGTAGCTATGATGACTGATAATCAAGCTGAATATCTCGAAGTATCGTTCAACACGTAACAATAATAAAAGTTCATGCTGTCAAGAATCATGAAAAAAAAATAGATTGAGAGCAATTGTCAGGAATTATTGAACATGTCCACCCTTAATATTGACCTGTGCAAAGAAATCTCACAATTGTATATTTAAAAAGAAAACAGTACTTCAAAAATTCAATGAAAACAAATATCTATATCGGAGTTTAAAAGAAAATCCTTTCTGAAACTTCGCACTAGAAAAAAATTCTAACAATATCGAAGAAATATTATGTTTTGTGTGAATTATGTGAATTAATAATCTATGTCGATACCTATAGTCTACCTCATTTAAAACATCGCTTATTCTTAATTCCGTCGAGAGAATAACCTCACACGTTTTTCGGGCTTCACTGGGATAGACAACAGATCTTCAAATGTAAAATTACTTATAACTATGCCGCCAATCATGTAATCAAATAATCAAACACCCACCATACCCAATAATAGAGCGTTATCAATGTGTCAACTAAAAAGGTACAAAAGATTGGCAGCTTTAAACACTGCATAAAACTAGAAAGTCCTTACTAGGAACATAGAAACAGAAGTAGTCATCAATACAGATACGTATGGATGTGTCTCCTCTTAAATTATCGATCTTACAACACCCCAGTATAATTTGCCGAAGCAGAGGATACAGAAAATGTGAGCCTTACAGTTAAGTGAGCTTTATTACTCATGTTGGAAACTTAATGAAAGCATTACCGCTGAGTCAAATAATGACAGTTACATTCGATTGGACNGGTCGAAAAAAATTTTGGGTTGTGACTTGACTTGACTTGACTTGAAAGTTTTTTTAGTGACTTGACTTGACTTGTGACTTGAGAAACCTTCAACTTGCCCAGCTCTGTTTGCGGCCCTGCACGTACAGGTACAACATTACTCTACAATTTGCTTGCCTGTGATCCAAATTGTCGTGCACCATTGTACACTGATATGAATGTTGAAGTTGTTCCACCGATTGCTCGATCCGATTCGATCGGACAAAAACGACGAATCGATAGTTTAAATTCTTCTCATTTGGGCGATGAACAGTTCTCCAAATGTCTTACTCGAATAGCTGCATCTCATGCACATTTTGATATTGAAGAAGATTGTTTTATTCTACGTCAAGCTGGCTATTTTAGCATGCTTCTTCTTATAGCTGATGATGAAGATGGCACTCCTGAAAGTTGGATTCGTAATGAAATGAAAAAAGATTATGCATACGATTATCATGAAGTATTTTTACATATGTTAAACAGTGTTGATATGCCAAAATCACATTGGCTATTAAAATCATCGTTCCATATTTTTTCTTTGAATACATTTGTTCAACATTATCCAAATGCATTATTAATTATGACTCATCGACGTCTTGACGAAGTTCTTCCTTCATTGTGTAGTTTAGCATTGGCAACTGGAGACGAATGCTTTGATAAAACAAACTCAATCAGTGAAGATAGAATGATAGAACGATGTTGTCAATTCCTTGATACAGAAGTTGAATGCATAATGAAATTTCGAACATCAGATAATGGTATAATTAATCAATCGAAAAAAAATATTTTCGATGTTACTTATGATAATTTGATGAAAGATCCAATTGGTATTGTCCATCAAATATATCACTATTTTAATCTTCATTGCTCGAATGATATGGAAATGGCTATGCGCAAATGGATTCTCGAAAATTCTCAAGGAAAACAAGGTCGTCATACGTACTCTCTTGCTGAATTTGGTCTTAATCGAGAAGATATTTCAATACGTTATGCTGACTATATCAATTTGTTTCTGTCATCGAATAATTAATTATTAACAACAAATTTAATTTTATTATAATTGAAACAATATTTCGTATTGAACATGAGGGTGTGGAGTGGATGTTGGTGAAGATTAAGATATTGACTCTAACCCACAGTCATACCGTCATCTTCATTCATCCACACCTCACCCTAAGATAATCAGAGTTTAATACTGGTTCTCAATCTAGTGTCAAATTTTCGACTCGTCAGGTTTGTATTTTGACACATTTCTTTTAATGAAAAAAAAAATTCCTTCATTCCCATATTTGATTTTCTGTTTTCAAAATGACATAAAAGAAGTTTAATGTTATTAATATTAATTGTTCATGATATTAGCACAGTTATAATTTCAATTAATAAATCTGTAACAATATCATTTGAAACTTCAAATATATTTTTGCATTAATTCCTGCTAATAAATTTCGTTCATTTTTAGCGTTTTATAACAATTAAAACACTATGAATGCCTGATTGTAATGATGATAACATTCAATTTAAAATAGAAAAAAATTCAGATAAATTTTCTGATTTTTGAAAAATATAATGTTCATCTAAATTAAAATCTACATTTAAAAGCTAAAATCTTTGAAAATCAATGAAAATAAAAATAACTTTCTTTTACTGCATTCAATATAGTTTAACTTGCTTATTTATATAATTTACCGGATATTATTTGAAGAAGTTCATGAATATGATTTTCTTCAGATATTGCTGACAATTCATCTTGTTTTTTCAATGAGAATATTACAAAAAAAAGGATGTTACAATTGTACTTTCATAACCATTGACAGGTGAAAATAATAGTTCAGTCTCATCTACATTATTTAGAGATATTTGTTAGTCAATTCTTCTGATTGTACATTTTCATTATCTTTGATTTTCTCGATCGTTACCAAATCTAAAATAAAAAAAAACAGCTTGCATATTTTTTTTTAGATTTTATAGTAGTAAAAAAAAGCATGACACGACCATCAATTTAATTGGTTCAATTTTGTGTTCTTTTCATTGTCTTTTCTTTTCGTTCGATTGCTTATTTAAATACATATCTTCTTGCTTCTATCAATAAAATAGTATACACTTTGTTGATTATTCATAATTCCTAAAGGAATAATATGACATGTAGAATGTTGAAAATTAAAAAATAATGAATGATTTGTTTTGTTACACCTATCATAAGGTTTACTTCATCCTCGCAAATGAAATTAACTGACAGTAGGTGAGATCTATTAAAAAATTTACACAAGAAAAGAAATTGAGATATAATGGTTACAGGAAACTATGAGTATCTTAATATCTTATGATAATTTTGGAATATGTAGCACTCGATTTAAGAACACTTTTATGTATTTATTTAGCTAACTTAATAAAATTTTCTCTACAATGCTGTGGAAACTAAAGAAGCATCCGAGTGCGTCTGTAACTAGTATTCATAAATTTTAGCAGGATATTCTGCTGAAAACTGCTCCAGTATATGAGCACCTACAGCTCATCGTCAGCATATTCATTAGGAATAACACTTGATTATGAGAAGACGACGAGTTTTTTAAACGTTTTTTGCGATTATGTAGAAAATAAAGATATGAAAATTAACGATGTCAATATCAACATAAAATATGAGCGATATATAGGGTTGGAAATAATATTTTTCCGGAAGGATATCGCTATAATGTCAGATAGAGTAAAAAATGAATTTTATACGAAATGAAAGACCGTAAAAAATGGAATTGATGTGTATATCTAATTACTCATTTTAGATGAGAATGAATTATAGAAATATGAAAAGTTTTATATTTTAGGCATATAATTATACCTTTGACAGATAATCAAGCACAAAAACATAAAGTTCTCACAAATATTTTTTTATCTCGTAGACTTTGTAGAACTCTTTTTGCTGATTATTTGGGGAAAAAGAATTTTCAAATTTCATCAATAAATAACAATGATAGGAGCAAAACACTCATAAACGGGTTAGTTCTATTAGCCATAGCAATTTGATATTTTCAATATTTGGATCTTAGTATTGTTATTTATTGATGAAGTTTTAAAAGTTTTATTTTTACTCAAATGATCCGTGAAAAGAACTCTACAAAGTGTACGAGACAAAAGAATATTTCCGAAAACTTTATGTTTTTGTGCGTTGACTACCGGTTAAAGACACAATTATATTTCGAAAATCTGAAACTTTTCGTATTTCTATAGCCCGTTCTCATCTTTATGAATAATTAGATATACTCCTACAGCCCATTTTTCACGGCCTTTCATTCAGCATAAAATTCATTATTTACTCTATTTGAAATTATAGAAATATCCTGCTACAAAAATATTATTGTGTGGTGTTCTCTCATATTTATTTCAACGTTTTATGGCTCATCTAATTGAACATGAACAAAATCTAAGCGTGAAAACATTTTATTTTTTAGATTGATAGTGTTCTAAGCAAATATTCATCTTGACTTCTGCTGTATGCGAGAAAATTTTTAAAATGTATGAAATCTGAAATTAACTAAATAGGAATCATTAAACTTTATCTTCAAATTATAACAAAAAACTATGTCATGTTCTCAATTAGCTATAACAAGCGTCTATGAAATACATTGCTTAATTTTTCTAAAGGAAAATAATATAATTGGAATATCAATTGTATGCTGTATTAATCTTTGAAAGTCGAAGGAAATTTTCTTGACAATGAGATAAACATGATCAATAGATGAGCACTTCTCAATTCTTAGTCTGATCACATAATGATTAAAAGGAATTCCTTTTTTTCGTATCTCGAGATATAAAATATCCATTGGAAGGAACATTCGACTCGTAAGAGTTATAAATCACTTTTTTATGCTTAAATCATGAGATTGTTTCTGTATTTCATTTTAAAATATATTTTTTTATTTATATGGAATAGAAAGCTGTTAGCGCAATCCCTTGCAGGATTAAAAATGTGAAACACCATGTAATTGCTGTTTCAAATCTTTTGAAAAGTGTTCCTTTCAATATATGTTGGGGCATATTTCTTCACCATGGATTACTTTACATTATATAGCTCAAACAGGATAATATTACATATATGTTCTAATCGTATGTTAGTTATACCTTATCTGATAGCTGCTTAAAGTCTTCTATCACAGTCTGTGATGACCCATGGAGCCTGTTATACTTCAACACGCCTTTCAGATCGTGTTTCACAAAAAGGAGACAAACCTATCCAAACAGTTTTTGAAATGAATCAGAAGATAGTATCGATCGAAACTGGTCTTTTCATGCTGCTCTATCTATCATGTAATTAGAAATATTCAAGTAAACAGTTTTTGTCTTTCATAAAGAGATATATCAATTAATTAGTTTTTTAAAATTATTTTTGAGTTGTATGATAATAATATTCCTTATAGACTGTTTATTATGAAGTGTACAAACATATTATTATTTCAAGATAAGATTGTCGTCATCAAATTGATTTTCTTTCTTTTCATCTTACTTTTTATGAACATCAAGTTATCTCAATAAAAATTTCCGATTCTCTCAATTAATTCAATGACTAAGTTTGGTAGGATGTGGGTGTGGATCCGAGCAAGATAACAATAGACTGTGGGTGTAGAGTATATGAATGACAACACTAACACTAACACTCACACCCACCCCAAGACCCGACGATCGGAAACTGCCCATGTAAAAATAAATAACAATTTAACGAATTGATTTTAGGGAATTAACGCAAAACCCTTCGTTAAAGCGAAATTTCACGAGAAAAACATCATGAAGTTTCGTTATTTTTCAAAAACTCGAGAAACTTCGTTAACATTTTCATGATTTTTCTTGCGTGAGCGTCTTCTATCGATCGCTAATGCGTTAACTATCATGTAATATTACATGAATTTTTATGCGTTAAGTAGTTTAACGAGTTTTCTTGAATGTTTTCGTTTTCGAGTAATCCTAATCAGTTAGATTTCGTTAAATTTCACATGCATTTTTAAGCGTTAAGTAGTTTAACGAGCTTTCTTAAATGATTTTCATCAACTCCTTAAATTTGTTTTTTAGTTATCTTTCGTGGATCATTTTAGCATTTGTGTCTCTAGAGCTTATCGATACCTAACGTATAAGCATAAATGTATTTTCAGAAAATTGAACAAAACTACATAACATATTAAGAGCTGGCTTCAACATATGATTTGTTTCTCCAATAAACACATTTTTCAACGACATCATTAATTGAGACACAATAAAAATTATTACTCTTCTAGTTTGGTTTCTTGAATGAATAGAAAATCGATGCTTTGATCATAGACAGATATTTGTAAATTGTTTGAGTTTGAAACAGGCCATATCTTCAACAACGTTCGGTTGCATTCATCAGTAAATCTCGAAATAGTTCATCCCAAATAGAACTTCACCATTTTTGTATAAAAACAACTGGCGAAACATCTGTCAATTTTGAATTGAAATAATCCATGTTAGTATAACGAACATGACCAATTTTATACGATAAAAAAGCGAATATTTCGATTGGAAACTAAATCATAAATTCTAGGTACAGTATCCGTGGAATGAAATCTTGGTTGTATTTCTTGATGAAGTAAAATAAATACGACCATTTGCAATTTTGTCAATATAACTTCTAAGTTGAATATTCATTGATGAAAGTAATGTTAGCACAAGACTCACGAATTTATTGTCAGAATTCCCCTGCAGACTTGTGTTAATTCTGCAATCGGTTGTGCTTTACGAAGAATTTTACGTTCTATCTAATGGTACTATTTTCGAATAGGATGCTTCACCGAAAAATGTTGGTTACCCCCGAATACCATCTAATATTTAGCACTTTCAACAGTATTTCCTGACCCAGTTCATCTATAGATCTGTGTTGATTATAAAAAAGATTGTACTAGATGCAGAGTTTTCAGTTCTGGCAAATGTTGTAACGTTCAGAGTGGATCATCGATCACAAAAGCCAAGTTCTATCCCAAGTACTCACATAAAAGGATCATTTCCATAATATTTCTTGTCTCAATTCTG